CTCAGTCTTGAACTATATGTCGTGCCTTCCATTCACCAGTATGTTTGGCCTACTCCGGCGTCGGCAAGCCAAGAGCAAGTTATCTCGACGAACACCTCCATCACGCCTCGTTACTACGGATTTTTAGCGATTGGGTAAAACTAGGGTATACGGACATTCTCGTGACGAAAGCAGTTGGTATAACGTAAAACGGAGAGATATATTTTATTTTTTATATATTAAATTTTATTAATATTTTAAAATATTTTATATTTATTTTATTAATTTAATTTTATTTAATTTAATAAATATTTTTTAATTTTTTATTATATTAATATTTTAAATTATTTAATATATATAAATTAAATTTTTAATATTTTACTTAATTTAATTTATTTTTTAATTTATAAAGTTAATAATTATTTATATTAATTAAATATTAAAATTTATATATTTATATATAATATAATAATATTTAAATTATTTAATTTAATTAATTTATATTTTTATTATTATTATAATTATATTATAATTTATAAATATATTTATTTATTATTAAATTATTATTAAAATATTATAATACTAATATTATATAATAAATAAATATTAATATATATTTTATATATTTTTTAAATATAATAAATTAAATTATAAATTATTTAATTATAATAAAATATTTTAATTTTTTTATAAATAAAATAATAATTTATTTATTTAATATATTTATAATAATATATTATAAAATATAAATATGTATTTATAAATATATTTTTATAAATAATTTTATTTTATTATATTTAAAATTATTTTTTTTAAATATTTTAAATTATATTATTTATAATTAAATTAAAAAATTTATAAAATTTATTTTATATAATATATTTTATTTTATATTAATATAATTATATATAATATAATAATATTTATTTATAAATTTATTTAAAAATTATAATTTATAATTATATATTATTTTAATATTATATAATATAAATAAATATATTAAAATTTTTATATAATAATATTTTTTATTATTAAATTATTAATTTTTTTTTATATTATAAATATTAAATTAAATATTTTATTTTAATTTATTATATATTATATATTATCTTTTTATTATTATTATATATATTATAAATATTAAATTAATTTATAATTATAATTTAATATAATTTAAAAAATTTTATTTATTATTTTTTAAATTATTATATATATTAAATTAATAAAATTAATAAATAAATTATAATTTTATTTTTATATTTTATAAATTTATAAAAATTAATAATTTTAATTTAATTTATAATGTATAATATATTTTTTAATATATTTTAAATAATAATTATTATTATTGATATAAATATTTTTTATAATTTATTATTATTTTTATATATATTAAAATTTTTAATTTAAAAATATTTACTTAAAAATATAATTAATTAATTAAAAATTATTTAATATATTTATTATTATTATTTTTATTTAATTTTATTAAATATTATAATAAATAATATAAAATATTAATATATATTTTAAAAATTTATTTAATAAATAATATATAATTTTATATTTATATATTATTTATATTTTTTATTTTATTATTTATAAGATAATAATTTATATAATTTTATTATTTAATATATTAGGTTTTAGTTACTTTTTTATAATTTTATTATTAACGGAGGTGCTATATTGTGGACCGCTGAATGGAAGAAGACAGTTCAGTGGTTTAGAAGTTCGGTGGCCGTTTGTGGAGCGGGTAGTGTGTACTTTAGTCTGTCAGACGAGTACCCGAAGAACGGGAAGAGAAGGGAGGGAGAGATGGGACGGCGTTGGACGGCAGTTCTTGTGGCGCTCTCTACGTGTTTCCTATTGGTGAACGGCCAACTCGACTGGTTCGTGCGGAAGTCGGAGCTATCCAAGCTACAAGTCGAAACCACGGAAGGTGAGAGAGGATACAGCGTGTGTGCGTGTGTGTGATGACGTGTCTGCCCTCGAGCGAACATGAAGCCCGATACACCGTCTTGACTGACTGTTTGTAGTGATAAGGGGGGCTTTATGATATACGTAAATGGACACATGATGTATTCCTCTCCTTTCTTATGAGTTACCTTTTTCGTGGGGCAAGAGGCAGAGAGAGCCAACGTTTTATTCATTCAAACCAAACTGTCCAAAAAGGAATGATGTCATTTGGTTGGAAAATGACATCGAGGGCGAAGTGCGATGCTCTGTCGTGCTGGTTTGGCGTTGAAGAACAAGAGCGAAGGGTAGGAACGGGAAAGACCTATTAATAACGCATACAGTTTTGTGAAAGATGGTAAAGACACCTTTTGTGTAAAAGTTTCTGGTCTCCAGCTAGTGTGTATAGTGTGTGGTAAGATGATAATAGTTGAGGGAGAGAATAGAGCCTTCCTGTGGTTGCCCTGCCCCTTCCTCTACTGGAGTATAGTAGTGGAGGAAGCCAGGTGGGTTAGTGGAGTGAAAAACAGGAGCTGGTTGTTTTTTTCCTGGGTCGCTTCCTCTCTCTCATCCTGCCTCCGCTTCCTGCTGAAGATGCTGTGTCTGTCGAGAAAAGCCTGTGACTCTGTCAGCTCAGCTGTGCTAGACCAGCGAACAGCCAGGCTGTTTATTTGCCTGGCTTGCTTTCTCCTTCCCCCCTCTCCCCTCCTCAGCCTGACTATTCTTGGCTCATCTATACCACAATGCCAACATGAATATGAACATGTTTGCTTTTGATATAAACTCAAGACTTCTCATTCACTTACACACACACACACACCCTACGAGAGTCTATTATACCTTACAGTTAGAACTACACATGTCAAATACCTGTCGTCACGGCTCCTCCTTCAAATTCCAGTCATTTTGTAAAGTCTATCGCTGTAGTTCAATTTGTAGGTGCGTTATACTGGTACCATTGAGGTGCTGCGGCCGTGAATGTGACAATTTGCCACGGATGAGTTGAGCCTTAGCCTGGCACATGTGTTGTCGTGTCATTCATCCTATTATTATTGTAGTGAAGGCCCGTGTGTGTGCGTGCGTGTGGTTGGCAGCTGTGCAACCTTTGCCACTTTGATGTCTGAATAAACTGGCCGGCATACATCTGTTAAGCAACCGAATTCTCTCTCTCCCTCTTTCTCTCTCTCTCTTTCTCTCCCTGTTGTCTTAATGTTGCTCTTCTTCTGGGGAAGGTGGTGTTAGTGCAATAATCATGTATAGTTCAAAGTATGACAGCAGTACATGTGAACAAAAGTTGTGCATCATGTAAAGCCAAGTCGATGAAGGTGGAAACATCACACAAGTGTCCAGGGAATCCTGATTGGTGGTTGATTCCTTGTCAGTTCTGCAAGTGCTATATACAGTGTTTGTCACTATCCTATCATGCTTGGCTGAAGCCTGCTTTTGGACACATGTTCCACGGCCACCTCTGAATGGGCCCCTTGGGCTCTGCACTGGCAGTTGTATGGGGCCAGAGATGGGTGACTTGGCACTGCCTCTACAATGTAGCTATGTATGTACTTCACTTTACATAGGACACCCTCAGGTTTAGTAGTGATGGGAGGAGTGGGGGGAAGGAGAGAGAGGGAGGGGCCCCTCCATTAGCAGTAGTGGAAGTGTAGTCAACACACACAAACATTCATTCCTCTACCAACCCAAGGGACAAGGAAACTTGTAGGGGTGAAGGGGTGAAGGGGTGAAGGGGCGGATACAATCATAGTATATACAGTATATAGGGATGAACATCTGGACACTATTGATGGCTAATCAGTGTAGTTGGTATGGAGACCCTAGATTCAATTAGCCTGTCTCATGAGTATTGGCTGGTGAGTAATTAGGGTAGTGCATAGCTGCCTTGTGTGTTGTTGGACTGTATTATATCGTGCATGAAACCCACAGCCCTATGTTGGCACTTACATGACTACATGCAGACATGTGTTAGTGCGTAATTTGTACATTTTGTTGTGCGTTCCCATGTAAATATTACCACAATGTTGTAAAGTATGTAACGATCCTTGTAATGAGTCTGCCCCTCTTGTTACTGTCGTAGATGAGTTCTACCTGATAAGAAACGGGGATTTTCAGATCCCGTCTCGTATACTGGTCCTCACGGAGCAGGGGATGAGTGAGGGGGTCAACTTCCACTGGGTGCTGAGGTCGTCACCGTTCCAGTTCTTGAAATACGAGATCACGTCCACGGTCGAAAACCCAGAGATAGCGAGAGTCGAATATACCGGCATTTCATCAATGGACGTCTTTAACGAAGACAGCGGTAAGTTTTTGAGCCATTGTGAACCAGATATCCACCCTCTCTCCCGTCCCACCTCGCCCCAGATTTCACGATCACGTTCCCGTGCCTGCAGACCTCGGCGTCCCCTGTAAACATAACTCTCAGCTTCTCTCTCTTCGACCCCCAAAACGTGAAGACAGTCTTCAAGATCACGGGGCTCAGGACGTGCAACTGCTCCGTGCAGACTTGCGTCTCCGAAACCGACACCCCGACTAGCGACGAAGGTGGAGATTCGAACTCAACAAGTTCGATTTTCTTTGCCGTCATCGGGACAGTTGGAGCTCTGATTCTGGCGGTGGTGTGCGTGGCGGTCATATACCAGTGTGTGATGCTGGCCACATGGTCCCGCAGAAACAGACAACCGTCTGGGGAAGAAGAGTGAGTTTCTATACTAGCTCTACCACCAACTTCGGTTTGTCCTCTTGTTGTTGTTTTGTTGGGGTATGCATATACATGTACAGTGGAAGCTCCCAAAAAGTATATACACACTAGGACGACCATGATATACAGACTTTTGTATGTTCACATAATTTTAGGCTCTGGATGTGTCCTTTGTAAGGAGATGCTCTTTATTTGGAGTGTCCATTAGTTCTACTGTATTTGACTAACAATTGTTCCCCCCTCTCTCCAGACTCCCCAACTGGGAAGACGTAATCCCGTCACCTGCCACCCACATGGTGACCCTCACCTCTCCCCTCCCCTCCTCCACCCTCCCTCCCCACGCCTCTCTCTCCTCCTTCTCAAACAGCCCGCGCACCTCAAAGAGCTACCATCACGGGAGCCTCAAAATGTACATGAGTCTGCTGCCGCTGAAAGGACTGTTTGTCGATAGACAGCGGATTTCCATTGGACCTGCTATCAAAGACGGTGAGAAAGTAAACTGTAGATGTATACTTAAGAAGAGGTAGTGATAGCAATGGGGTTATCAACCACACACTGTATACACAACCAAACCTACTACTATCTCGCTTCTCTCTCCCCTCCCTTGTCCCTATCAGGACTGTACGCTTACGTAAGAAAGTGCTCCCAAATCATGTGTAGAATTCTCTGTAAAGAGTTGTGTTTCTGCTACCACTGCAGGAGTGTTTGGTGTGATGTACGACGGTTACCTTAGCAATGCAGAGGATGATCCCGAAGGGGCTGTTCCTGTAATTATCAAAACAGTCAAAGGTAATGCTCTGTGCCTGCTGTGGAAAAATTGCCCTGCATGTGCCTTGTTTCTCGTTTGCTCTACATACACGCCATGCTAACATTGCATCTTCCTGTTGTTCTCCCTCCAGAGAACACGCCAGACATAGTGGTCAACTCTCTACTGGAGGGAGGCACGGCCCTGCGACCAGTCACTCATCGCCACCTCCTCCGCCTGGTGGCCTACAACTATTTAGAGGGTGAACAGCCCATGCTGCTCTACCCCAAGAGTGCCCTGGGAACTCTCAAATCTCTTCTTCTCAACACGAGGGAGACCAGGACTTGTGTGAGTGGAGGGGGATTAGGACACCTCTGGAGCCAAGATAGGTGTCCTGATTAGTGAGGTGTCCTGATTAGTGTGGTGTCCTGATCAGTAAAGTCACCTGATTAGTTTTGTGTGAAGTTCAATTCTAAGTGTTTCTCTTGTGCAACTTGCTGTAAGAAGTGCTCCGATCTCTTCCACCTCAGATGTTGACCACGCAAGACCTGGTGTTCATATCCAGTCAGATCTCTCGTGGAATGTACCATCTCATGAGACACGGACTCACTCACAGAGATCTGGCCACAAGGAACATCTAGTGAGCTTGCACCCCTAACCACAAAGATCCACTTTCTTCTCCCTTAATCACCAAAACTCACACATTTTGTGAACTAACTTCGCCTCTCCTCTCTCCTCTCCAGTGTTCATGAGAACCTGCTAGTAAGGATAGGAGACAGAGGTCTATCCTGGGACCTCTACACTGAGGAGTACCACAGACTGCCAGACGGAGAGATGGCTCCCGTCAAGTGGATGGCAGCCGAGGTCCTGGCAGAGAGGAAATACTCTCATTATTCAGATGTGGTACGTAACACTGCCACACACTCTGGTATATGGTTTATTAGGGTTGAAACCCTCTCTAAGGACAACCCTGAAACGAGGACACCTCCCCCCCCCCAAGAACGGTATTTGCATTAGGACATCTCACTTGATGGACATTTTTTCTTGCAATTTTTGTTAACCCCGAAAATCCCCCGAAAAATGTATCGTCACTGTATGTACCATATGAGACGGTTGCATATCTACCCTCGCCAGTGGTCATTTGGTGTGGTGCTATGGGAGGTGATGACACTGGGAAGAATCCCATACGAAGATGTGCCTCCAGAGGACATGCTCTCTGTCCTCACCACTGGTCTCAGACTGGAACAACCCAAGAACTGTCCTGAAGACTTGTAAGCTCTTTCACCTCTTTGCGGAGGATCCGTGTATGGGATGTCTTTCACCTCTCTTTCTCCTGCCTCCCCTTCACACTCTCACACACTCCCTCTCCTATCTAGATTTGTCCTGATGGGCTGGTGCTGGGCACTAACACCTACAGACAGACCAAGATTCAGCCACCTAACACTCAGACTCAAAGACTTCCACGAAAAAATCAGTGCTTTCATCTAGAATATATGTCTGTGTCCCTTCACTGAACTGACCAATCACATCACTCCACATCATGTGACATCACATGACCTCATCACTAGCAGGCATCTTCATCCTCAGTTTTCCACAACTCTTAACTTTGTTCCTTTCTCCTCATTTTTGAACTGCAAAGCAGTTTTCCCTGTATTTTCTCTCTCTCTCTCTTGCTCGCTCACTCTTTTTCGTTATTTTGGTATTTCACAAAACCGTTGTAAATACGCGTATATGAAGTAAGTTCTTGATTCATAAAAAAAATAATGCGATACATGATAAAAATAATCTACAATAATGAAGACCGAAGTCATAATTAAAATCAATTTCGCTGGCCGAAAGTACATTGTCCAACTGAAAATAGAATGTTACGGGTGAATGTGTATGTTCCCTCCGCCGGTGCCTGGGGTGATGACTCGCACGACCTGAAGAGGGAGAGAGAGAGAGTTTGCTAGCACGCCAAGAGAGAAGAGAGCCACAGGGAGAGAAGGGGTTGAATGGTGCGAGGTAGGAACCAAAGAGGGAAGATAGAGAGAGAGAACTTTGCAGAGAAAGAGAGGAATCAGTGTTGGGGAGACCTGGTCTGGTTTAGGATGTTGAGCCACCAGAAGCTCAGTCAGGTCCACTCCGAGTTTCTTCAGCTCTCGCAGGTGGGCGGTCTCCTCTTCCTGTCTCTGTCGCTGTGCCTGCAGGGGAGGGAGGAGAGGGTTAAACCATGCACCACACAGCTGGGGACAGGGATTCTTTACCTCCAGTTCAGCCATTCTCTGGTCTTTCTCTCTCTCAATCCTCTCGCGGTGTTTCTTGGTGTCCAGCTCCATCTGGTGTGTCAGCTGCTGCCTGTGTGTAAGGGAGGAAGACACCACGATACGAGATCACCAGAATTTTCGCCGACATTTCAGACTCTGGGAAAGAGATTTGCTCACTTTTCCATTGAGTACTGGTGCACCTTTTGTTCCTTCAGTAATTCCTGCTCTGCAGTTTAAAAAACAAAAACTCTCTCTCTCCTACTCTCCCTCTCTCTATATTATCTTACGTAGGACACTCGTTTGCTGCTGGTTGCAGAGTTTCGAGTCTGTGAGATCTTGTTTCTGTTGCTCCTCTTCCATCCTCACCTTCAACTGGGCCCTCTTCTCGATGGAGTGATCATGGAGACCCTGGAACACCACATCATCTATAATACTAGGGGCATCTCTTCTTGAAAATTGCGCAATTTGGGCGATTAAGTTGGCATCTTGCGTAACTCTCGTCAACCGCGACACAAACCTGTAGTTTATCTCCGGCATGGTACCCCCTGAATACGACCTTTGTGACCTCGTACCCAATGGTGCCACTTCTCCCCATCAACTGGGGATAGTTCTTCAGTTCATTCAGTTGGCTACTGCTGTCGATAAACTCATCATAGCTACAGAAATATTATTATTAACGACACATGCACGACTGTGTATAATTGAAGCTCTTACTTCATTTGGGAAGCAAATGTTATTACGTCGGCTTGCACGGCACTGGAGGGCAGGGCACAGAGTCTCGTGATGTCAGGTGATAGTCACATGACTTACTTGATGAAGTCACCAATGGGATCTGTTGTTTGGTTCAACATTCGCTCGATGTCTTTTAGCTCAAAGAACAACATGAGTTTGACGGATATGAGGGCATCATCCTTCGTACGAACCTGTAGCACAGCATATGAGAATATGTACACCTCCAGCTATTGTATGAGTTTCAAGTTGGGTATTGATCTTACATCAGCGGTATTGTAGTAGAACTGGTCTGGAATGACCCGAAGATTGGTAAACCTCAGTCCTCCTGGAATCTTCTTTGTCTTGTTGTTTCGATCAGTACCGTGCCATACAAACTCATGGAGCCTTGTTTGACACACCGCAGAGGAAGAGAGAGAGGAGGGAGAGAGAATTGTTAAAGAGTAAGTTAATAGTCATTGGTTAAGTAAGGTGGATAAGACAAAATGTATTGTGCCTATCCCTCTGAACTACACAAATGCTGCGTGTGTTCATAAAGTACTGCATATATACCACTCATCGGCGGAGGGTGTGAAGATGGTAGGACCGTACTGGATTCGTCTCTGCACGATGCGGTCCCCTCGGTCTCTCTTGTAGACCACCAGGACCTCGTTGGCACTCAGGGAGTGGGCCTGCTTCACCACCGCACTCTCTACCAGAAGAGGGTTGATGAACATGGAGCAGGGCCTGGGGAATAGGTGAAAGAAAAGATAGTGTTAGGTTTGTGTTTTGGGCTAATGGTTTAGCAAGCAGTCAGGAGGAATAGCAGACCTAAAAAAACAAATTTGGAATGTAGCTGGAAAATCATGTGCCAATCATTTCCAAAGTGACTGTTTTATTTTATCGTAACACCATGAGGTTGGTGTGCCACTAGTGGTATTCACCCTTGCATGTGTTCGACTTCTCCATCAGCCTTCTGGAACTGGATGTACTGGTACTGGTCGGCCGACACTCGCTGGAGTCTCTGAAACGACTTGCGGAACACGGACACTCTCTGGGGACCGTCCACCACCATGCTCTGTCCGCGTTTGTCGATGAGGAGAGCCTGCAGTGAGACCGGACTACGGGTAGCTTCAGACGTTAGTGTCAAATGAAGGGACGTCACCCAGCTACTTGTAAAGTATAAGCCAGTAGGTTTGGTAGACTCACCCTCTCTCCATCTCTGACTGTCTTGAACATACTGTACTGTCTTCTCCCCTCTGATCTACGCTATGATGCTACGTGTAAAAGATTCCACTGGCCACCACTAATACTGTTGTGTGTCTGCTGACGATCCAGACACGCCCCTACACGCGCGCCCACACAGCGGATACGCATGCGCAAACGTTTTGTGTTTTATGGGCGTTAGCGCTTCGCTTTCGCTACCGTTTCTGCATCTTTTTTCTGTTCTTCTTCAAAAGTTCAAGAAGGTATGTATTTGCTGCAGCTCCACAAAAATTCTGACCATGTGAATTGAATGCCCGGCTCTCTTGCAGTTCGCAGGAATGGCGGATGCCTCACCAAACGAGATCCTGGACCTTGAACAAGAGCCGCAGCGACCTATCACCGCCGGCTCCTAGTCAGTGATACACCACATAATGCACATAATTTTAGCGTGCATGACAGTTGATATTTGTGCATCAATGCATCAGCTCTGCTGGGAAACACTGATAGCTATGGTGGTGACCTTGCTAAGTAGCAAAATCACATCTTGCCAGTAACTGAAACAGGTCCTTATGACAATGACAAAAGTGATATTATAAACACCACGAATATTGTGTCCAACAGCTCAGAGAAGCGGGCGGAGTTCCGGCAGCATCGCGGAGTTTTCTCACTCCTTGCCGCACACCCTGAAACAAGACCCACCCCAAAAAAGACGACGGGAAAAGAGGATGCCGAGTGGGTCAAAGTCCAGATGAACACCTTTATGAAGTGGGCCAACAGCATCCTGCAAAAGGGTGGGCATCCTCCGATGACCAACTTGATAGAGGACATGAAAGATGGAGTGGTGCTCATTTCTCTATTGGAAATCCTCACTGGCAAAGAAATCGGAATGAAGTGAGCAATTTTAACCTCCGTTAAAAAAAACTCAGAATTTAACTTTTGTTGGCTTTGTAGGTACCACAAGCAGCCAAAGACGCGAGTGCAGATGGTAGACAATCTGCAGGTGGCTTTCAAGTTCATGGAAGCTGAAAAATTGGAGCACACTTCAATGAGTGAGCCACACACACTACATCATTTGAGGCTCGTACCCACCGGAGGCATTACCTGTGTAACCCTATCCTTCTAGTGTGTGCGTGTTGCCCTACGCTTGATTAACTACACTAGCTCAACAAAATCTGGTTACAGTTTCCTTGATGTGTTAGCTATAGCTACCGTGAAATGCTGTAGCTACCACTGTATAGTGTGTAATGTAAGCGATTGTGCTCACACAATACTGACTTGTCTTACTATGTAGGCATGTGTGAAATGTGCAGTACACAAACGGTCCGTGACACAAATTCCTCGTGTTATTGTAGCTACCACTGCCCTCTCGACATATAAATCAGCTAAGTTCATTTGAGTTGGTAGTATAAGCTTGGGCAGCCAGTACAAGAGCTGTGTCTTAGACTTTGCTGGAGCTACTAGTTCTTGCTCTGCCTGCTCCGTAGCTATCTATCAGGGGTCAGTCTGAAAACCAGGTAAGTGTATATGTAAATATTTTGTCTTGGGTGCGGTCTGCATTGTGTATATAGTATTATGCTGTAGAGAGTGGTTGTTTAGCATGTAGACCAATGGTGAGCTTTCTGTGTTCTAGCTCAGAAGCAATTGGTGGGTGTGGCAGTATTTACTCAGAGCTGCAGCCAGTTCACACTCTGCAACAAACAGTCTAAGTAGCTACAAGTGAGCTTATTAGCTCCTACAAGCACCTGGTGCCAAAATACAGTTCCAGGCAGTGAAAACATGATAGAGAGAAGTGGCCTACCACACTGTACTAGTACTAGTAGGAAGCACGGAGACCTTGGGATATATTATCCGCCCTCCAACAAAGCTCATGATGATATCCATAGCCAGAGAGGGTACATGGGAGCAAATTCCTACGACATATGAATAGCATAGCTGGTAAAAGATTCATGCGGGCCTTTATTCATGTCCTACGTAGGAACACTGTGATTGTGGTATATAGCACAGTTGTGAATAGCCCCACAGGGGAGTTACATTGAAGTGACGTGATACATTGCTCATATATTTTGTTTGGGAGACAAAACAACTAAGTTGTGGGATATGTTTACTCCCCACTTTCTCCTCTCTCTCCTCTTCTTCTCTCTCTCTCTCTCCTGCCACTCCTCCTCTGCTCGCGTCCTCTCGCTCTATTCTCCCCTCTTTCTCGCTCTCTCTTTTCTACAGATCCAAACGACATTGTGGACGGAAACCTAAAGCTCCTGCTGGGGATTCTGTGGAGGTTCATCTTCAAGTACCAGATCTCAGGGAACCTTCACAAGCCACGCCTCTCCAGACCCAATTCTGTCAGCGACGAAACCCCCCACACACACCGCGAAATGTCGGCTTCAAAGATGCTCCTGGCCTGGTTCCAAGCTTCCCTTCCCCCAATTCACGATCTCCAATTTCTCTCAGGATTGGAGCGACGGTGTGAAGCTCTCGGCACTGGTCAACTACTGCAAGCCGGGCCTCATCCCTAACTGGGACCAGAAAGATCCACAGAATGCCTTTGAGAACATCCACAACGCAATCTCCCTTGCACACGAGCACTTTACCATTCCCGAAGTCCTCCACGCAGAGGACCTGGCTGTGGAAAAGCCAGACAGACAGGCTGCCATGACCTACCTCAGCTATTTCTGCTGCCCTGGATCCCCTGGGGAGAAAGTCCTCATGGAATGGATCGAGCTGGTCATCCCTGAGGTGAAGATCACAAACTTCACCAGCGACTGGAAAGACGGAGAATCCCTCTGTGCACTCGTCTCGGCCTTTGCTCCCAGTGCAATCTCTCGAGAGGCCCTAGAGGGTAAGAGCAACGTCGAGATCACTCGTGCAGCGATGGAGGCAGCGAAAGAGCAGTTCAACATCAGCTGCCTCTCCTCCCCCGAGGAATTCACCTCTCCCACGTGCGATCAGCTGTCGGTGATGGTGTACCTCTCCCACTTTCGATTCATCAAGGAGGAGAGGAGGAAGCTTCCCTACCTGTCCGCACTAGGTTCCGGTATCACGGGGACTGAGATAGGGACCGAGGCTCAGCTTCAAATTGAGGGGGAGATGCTGGACGGAAGCATCGTGGAAGTGAGGGTCCAGAGCCCCGATTTGGGCGAGGTGGAAGTACACGAGATCCCCGTTCGTTCGGGGACTCCAGGGTTTCAGTATCGACCTACAGTCCCCGGAACCTACACGGTCGAAGTCAAGTATTCCGGGGAGCATGTGAAGGGTTCACCGTACAAAGTTCGCCATCTTCCACCTCTTGATTCCGTGACGGGCGGTCGCGGTCTCCATCGAGCCTGCGTCGGGAGACAGGCTGAGTTCACGGTCGACGTTTCGAATCTCGGAGAGGGGGTCCTGAACTTCAGGATTCTGGATCCAGACGATATGCCGCTTGACAACGTACACATGACGGAAGCGACTGCAGAGTACACGGTGACCTACACTCCTTGGAGAAGCGGGGATCACAAGATTCAGCTTGAATGGGACTGCACACCAGTGACAGACGAAATCGACGTGGACGAATCCTTCAACACCCTCGAGTGCACCTACACAGTGTCTGTGTTCGACATTTCCAAGTGCGTCGTGAGAGGCAGCTGGGCTCTCGGAGGCAATTATTGGGGAGCTCGCCTCGTTTGAGATCGAAACCTCGGCAGTTGGTAAGGGCAGTCTCTCCACCATTCTAACTGGGCCGGGGAACCCTGATATGAAACTCGTCTCGATCGATGATGATGTTTATGCATACGAGTACACGCCGGAGATGGAAGGGGAGTTGCAGTTTGACATAATGTGGGAGATGGTTCCAATCCCCGGCAGCCCTTTCAAATTGACCCCCTCCCCTAGAACCCCTGCAATGGAGTGTGTAATTAAGGAGGCACCAACTGGCCCAGTCCGTGCCTGCACCGCTTTCAATGTCACCGTCGTAACCCCACCAAACGCCGACTGCCAATTGGAAGGGAAACTCGTCAGCGCTCACTGCAACAAACCGTGCACGGTCACAAACATCGATGGAAATACCCACGCTGTCACGGTGTGCCCCATTGACGTTGGGTCTTACGAGGTGCACATTACTTACGGCGGCAACAAAATCCCGGGGAGCCCCGTCAAGATTGACGTTAACGACCCCTCCAAGTGTTGGGTGGTGAATCCTGAGGTACTGGCCACTGGTTCGTGGCAGTGTGGGCAGCAGGTTCTTGTCAGGGTCTCCACCGCGCAGGCCGGGAACGGGAAACTAATTGGTAAGGTGCGCGGTCCGACGCAAGCCGTCGCCAGCGAAACGGTGGAGGAAGAAGAGGGAAACCAACTGGTTTGTTTCACTCCGACCGAAACAGGGCAATATAGCATCGATCTTTTCTTCGACGAGGAGCGTTTCCAGGAGAGAGCCAGCAAGATCAGGGTCGAAGACGACAGCCTGGAGGGAATCGCGATCACAAAGCCGGTGAGCCAAACAGGGTACCACCACGCCAACAAACAGCTCGATATCTGGATCTCTGCTCCCGGTCGCGACGAGAAACTCTTCACCATCGACGCAAAGGGTGTCCAGACTGGAGCAACCCCAACTTTCACTCTGGTCCCTACCGGCGAAGACACCTACAGCATCCACTTCACAGCCTCTCAACCAGACGACTATCGCATCGGGATCAACTACAACGGTAAGAGTATCCCGGTTCTCCGTTTATTCTTGCCATCGGCATCCCCCCCTGCCCTGAGAAAGTAGAGGCATATGATCCGGTCCTCCCGTTCAAAGCCAGTGGAGATCCCATTGAGCTACTGTTCAACGTACGAGACGCAGGGATTGGCTCTCTCACAGCTAAGGTGAATGATTCCACCTCTGACGATTGCTTCCAATGGGTTAGCATCGAGGAAGCAGCAAAGGACCTCCATCGAGTGTCGTTTGTGCCTCCAAAGAACGACGTGTACACTGTCAGGGTGGAGTGGTCTGGTCAATCGGTGCCCGGATCCCCATTCAGAATCGATTACAGAGAGCAGGAGGTCGAACCGCACGTCTGCATCGAGTTTGAGCCGGATGAGGGGACCCCTAGCAAGGTGACTGCGGCAGCTGAGGGCGCTGCTAGTGGCCTCATTGCAGCTCAGGTCCGCCAGTTCAAGAGGGGACGCTACCAGATCAGTTTCGATCCGCCTGTCCGCGAGGTGTTCAAGCTCATGGTGTTCTGGTTCAAACGCGAGATAAAGGGGTCTCCCTTCGTTGTCGACTTAACTCCTTCGCCGCCAAAATCCCTACCAGAGGGAGTCCGTGTGGTGTCTCTACCAGTGAGCGTTAACCAAGAATCGGGCGTGTTTTCTGCCTTCGCAACCGACAGCCACTCCAACCTCGTTCGTCCGCAGCTGTCTCTCTCTCCAAAAGCCGACTCCATCAAAATCTCCTTCCCCGACCTCAAAAAGGAGAGCTACAGTCTTTTTGCCTTCTGGAACAAGAGCCTGATCTCTGGCTCTCCATTCAAGATCGACCTTAGAGCCTAGACCCCAACAGAACTTCCTAGAAATAGCCAAACCCCTCTCTTCTTTTGTCTTTGTATTATAAACACCTTCTAGATAATTAACACTGCTGTATTATATTATTTTAACCCTCAGTGCTTTTTGTAAAATATGACATTTTTAAGGAAATCGTATGAGTGATTTTCAGTATACAACAAGTGTTAAGTGGCAGGACAGTTAGTTATAGTTAGTTAATTGGGGGGTCTGCCAACTTCTGCCTCATTTTCTTAAGTTTTTGTAGCCACTTCTGATTTCTGTCAACGGGCTAAAATATGGAAGATTAACAGAAACAAACGTGCAGGAATTTAATAATACCTCAGTTTCAGGAGTTGATTGAGTCGTTTCCTGCCTGATTGAAACCACGTCTCTTCCTCCCTCCTCCATTACTCCCATTCCTTCTTCTCTTCCCAACGCATTCTCCACTTCACACATTGGAACCACTTTAGGGACAAATTCACTGGGGTCTACAGTCGTCACATCGAAAGTCTTTCCGGCCTTTTTCTGAGAGACGCCGGAAGGAGGCACGTCCCACTTCTTGCTCGAGCGTTTCGAGACAAACTTGTCAGACGTGAATGAGTTACTCTCTATGAGTGCCGTCTGTCCAGGAGTAGGAACAGGGGCTCCAGACATTTCCACAGCAGCGGCTTTTGCTGTCTCTAGCACCACAGAAATCACACCAAATGTGTAATATAATTCTGAACTGATTGTAAGTGGATTTTTATACCTTCACTGGATTTAGCCAGGAGTGCTTTCACCCTGGCTTTTAGAGCCTCAGCTGGATTCTATTAATGATTTAATTTCACAATTAGGTTGAGAGAGATTTTTAAAAGTCAGCTAACCTCTCCTTTTGCATCACTACTCTTTCCACTGCAGGTATAAATACAAGGAGGCAAGACAAAATTGATGGTGTATATAAAAATTCTGACCCACTCACGTTTTTTCTTTGTCTTTACTCGGTTTCTTTGATTTTGTTCTTTCTCTTGATCGCGACCGGCTAGAACTGAAACAATAAGTCATTTGTGATTTATCTGATATTACCAGTACCTATGTCTCTTGCGTTCTTTCTTTCTCTTTGAATCTCTGTGTGGGCTTCGAGATCTTGACCTGTGCCTATCTCTTTTGTCCTTTGGCCTACTTCTCTCTGTAATAACAAAACTCCACATCACAGCAGTCCACACTAAACTCTACTACCAAACCTACTGCAACTGCACAAATTATGTACACAAGACGGTGCTATACTACAGTGAAGAAGACGGAATATACACTGGTTTTACCTGAACTATGGTGTATTGTGTGGGAAGAAAGAGCACATGTTAGAAGATGGTACCCACACGAAGCGTAAGGTGCAAGTACTCGACCTGTAATCACGCCGTCTACGGTGACGGTCGCTCTTCCGCGTCTCGCCTCGTCTGCTCCGGTAATGCCGGTCAGAGTCGGGGCTGGAGCCGCTGGAAGAAGAAGAATGGCGGCGTCTACGTCTTCTCCGACGATCGGGACTTCGACTCCGGCTGCTGCTGTAACTCCGGTCTCGCCTACGACCGCTCCTGGAGCTCATGTTTTGATCGCTGCCGCCACGCCGTCTTCAGATACGTATATACGACGACCCCGATGACCCTGTTGCTTGTTGCTGTTTTGCGCATGTGCAGAAGAGGAAGGGGAGGGGCTAATGCTGCAGAAAGAGAAACTCGGCAAAATGAGCAGCAAGCGCGAACTTCCACGGAGGAAAGCCAGGCGAGGGAAGAGAAGTGAGCAAGGTCATCCATCGAGTGGATCGACGCATTTTTATTCTCCCTCTTTTTTTTCAGGCCAATCTTGCTTCGAACTGCAGGGCAATCAGCAGTACCTCCACGCCTCGCTATCCACCGCCTCCTTACCTGCCACCCTCGCTCCAACTCGTCCCTCTTCGCGGATTTCGCAATATCGCGATCCTCTCTCTTCGTTCAAACCTCTTGAACCGACCTCAGATGGATCGTACAAACACACAAAATCCAGGTATCAGCTAAACTATCTATGGCTATGGCTGTGTCGAATAATAATTACTTTGCAGTCTTTTGCGAGCAAGTTCGGCGCCAGTTGCTCGTGCTCAGCCAGACTACAGATACTTGGCCAGAAGAAGAAAAGAGTCCAGTAGGTTATCTGATAAACAGTGGTTTTGTGTCATGTGCTATATAAGCACTCCCCACAGTCTTAGCTGAGAAGACTCTTACTGCTGAAAAGACACTGTGAGTTTTTTAATGTGACAGCATGCATAAAATGTGGCTTTCAATTTAGGAAAACTGAACTTCCTGAAGGTGAGACTCTGCACAGCTTTCTCGTTGGTGGGAGGTACAACAGGTCAGTCCCAGTTACCATGACTCTAGCTCCAATGATTATAGGGACCTCTCTTCCAATGAATTCCTTGCAGCGCTCATCATGTAGACGTACGATCAATTCAGAGGCTTGGTGTATACGTTCCACGCAATAACAGTGTAAAAAGTTTCATCAATTCAGCTGGGACCATCCCTCCTTCTCCAGAAGTCTATGGTACACAATTTCAATCACATTGACATTGTTTAATCTGCTTCTACATAATGAAGGGTTGCACCCACTAAGGAAACACTCTCCTCTGATAGTCGACAGCACTTCCACTCATTCTACTGAGAGAGGGTTGGAGATAGTTAGACAGGATTTGGAAATGCAGTTCAATGAGGAATCAACAGCAAGCAGACATTCTCTTCGTTCAAAACACAGCACCACTCTTGTTTCGGAGGAGCTCAATGGAAAAGAGGCAAAGGAGGCTATCTCACCCCCTAATGCTGATCATGATCAAGAAGACACTGATCTAACTCATAACCAGCCCCCAATAGGAGATAGTGGACCAGTTGCTGATGAAGACACTGCCTCTTCGGTGGTGTCAGCCTCAAACCTACTCTCACCAGAGGCCCAGCAATTGACTCAGGAGATACTTCTAGAAACAGTCTCCGTGGGCGAAGATGGGAACACAACCAGTGTACTAGAGAAGACTAAGTATTTATCCAGAAGCTCAGTCGGCCTATCAGCAGTAACGAACACCCAATCACGACTGATGCTCAGGTCTCGGTCAGCAACTAGCTTGAGGCACACTAGCATGCAAAAGTCAATCAACAGACCAAAGTCAGCATATCAGCTATCCAGCGTTGAACCTTCCAATCCTCATAATAACAGTGCTGCTATCTTTGTGGACCTCAGTAAACTTAATTCCACCGAAGATAAGAACTAATGGCAATATTTTACAGCAGTTTGTATAATACTTAAAAACTACACAGTCATGGACTATATAAAAATTTTGGTATAAAAAATTAATAAAAAGATGGGGGATGTTCTACACTAGTTCAGCTCCTATCCTAGATAGATAGTTGTATATTGAGTAATGTAAACGTGTAGAGTTATGTTTGGGGTTGAATGTTGACTTCGAATGGGCTCCCCGGTATTTCAATCCCGGCCCACGTCATGGCGAGTCGATACCTCCCCGGCAGGGTGGGATCGTAGCGAGCAAGAAGAACCTTCTGGTTCTCCCAGTGCTGCCTCAGCTGGGCATTGAACCCTCCGTACGGGCCCTGCACTTCGAAATCGAGTTTTGCCAGTCCTGCTGTGGTAGTGTCGACGACAAAGTTTCCCTCTTGATTGATGATCCCGCTGTTGATTCCCGGACCAGAGACGCGGATGTTGTGAGGGATGGGGGGAGTTGGGAGAATGAGCGGATCCAGCATATCGGAATGGAAGTGGACAGGGAACGGGCTCCCTAGGATCTCCCTGTCGTTATAGAGTATGACGAGGTCGTGGTTGCCGGGGACGAGTGGTGTAAACTCACATTGGTAGTAGGTGTCCTCGGCGACAGGGATTTCAATTTTCACTGCATTAGACGGACGACATAAGATATCCAATTCCCCCTCTCCCAACCCGGCATCGTGGAAGACTTTGAATTTGTGTGGCTGATTGAGGGGCAGAACTACATCTTTGAGGTCAATTCCGGTCACCTGACGCTGAGTGGACTCAAACGTAAGCTCTAGAGCAATATCATCGACTTTTTCATTGTTCCACAGCAGAAAGATTTTGTATTTGCCAGCAATGCTGGCGCTAAACTTGCAGACACAGATGTTGTTCTTGACTTCTACGATCTTGACTTTCGGCTTTCCGGGACCTTGAGTACTGAGTGTTAGTACACCCTTTCCTGCTCTTTTGGTGGAGACGCGGAAATGAACACAGCTGTCTAACTTCCATTTCTTTTCAAACTGTTCCATGTCAGCGAGAAGGACATGAACTCTGGCGAGGGTGTTGCTTGCAAGGGATCTCCTGCTCAACCCGATTCCAAGAACACTCCGTGCTTTTTCGTTCGTGAAGACCACATCGAATGGACTCCCTGGGATGTGAATCTTGTTCCACAAAACTGAGACTCGGTATTCTCCGCCGCAGGCCGGTACAAGGCGACAAGTCTGAACGCCTTCCTTCTCCGTCTCCACCATCTCAACTGAAATGTCATCCAGCCCCACCCCACTCACACACAGCTCCCCCTTCCCACCCTTGGAAGTTACGATATTTAACTCTAGAGGGCCCACCGGTTGCGGATTTGTCAAGAGCTCCCTGTCTTCTTCTGCAATGGTAATGTTAGAGGCGAATCCAGGGGAGGAACAGGGGTTGAGTCCAAGTATCTGAACTGCTTTGGGTGGTAGGAAAGACACGGAGAATGGGCTTCCACTGATGTGGATCTTCTCCCATAGAATATAGACCTTGTACTCTCCTTGCTCCGTGACCTTTAGTGTACAGGAATGACTTCCGTCTCCATTGTCGTAGATATCAATTTCTGCATTTCCAGGGCCAGTGCAACTGATGCTTAGCTCTCCTCTCCCAGCATCTCCGGTGACTAGTCGGAATGAGACGTCCGATCCGACCGGCTGAGGTCCGTTGAAAATACACTCATCCTCCTCTTTTATCAGGATCGTTGACAAGTGTTTCGAGTCGGCGTCGGTGTTTAGACCGAGAAGTTTGGTTACTTTCTTTGGGACGAGAGTGAGAAGAAACGGACTCCCCTCAATGTGCTTCCTCTTCCAGAGGACGTGGACCCAGTAGTTACCCGGCTCCGAGGACGACAGTTCGCAGGTGAAACTGTGATCTTTGTTGTCTTTGACTACCAGATCAGGTTTCGCTGGTCCGTGGGAACTGACGGAGAGTTTCCCGGTGCCACCATCAGGGGTCTTGATTACAAACTGCAGTGGAGTGTCGGTTGCATGAGGCTCTTGGAAAACCATCTCCTGCCCCTCTACGAGACATGCCAAACCCTCACTGTTTTCCAGACGACTGACTTGGAGCGATAGCGGGCTTCCAGGTACCGGCTTACCTGCCCAGTTCACATGAATAGAGTGTCTACCTATTGCCTGTGGGGTATACTGGATGATGTACGTCCCGTTTCTATTGTCTCGGATGTTGACTGTCGACTCCATGCCGGAGAGAGGGATGTCGGGGAGTACAGCTATTTCACCAAAACCAGCTTCAGAGGCATTCAGATGGAAATCTACCATTTCACCGATATGAGTGCAAGTTGCTGGTGCAGTCAGGATGCATGCATTGGGATCAGCAGGAGGAGCATAGCGGATATAATAGGGGCTCCCCTTAATTTCCTGGTTGTTTTTGTGGATGTTGACTCTGTACATTCCAGGTTCCCTGGCTTCAAAGGCAAGCATGAACTCTCCCTTTGTGACGTGGCTGATTGTGACGTGGCAGTGGGTGTCTGATCCCACGTGTGCAGCTAGTGCCGAGACTTCGCTCAGCGCCGCGTACATTCTCTTTAGCTGAATCGTGACTGGCTTCCCATTGTGGTATATTGGCACTGCCGGTTCGTGGACGTCTAATTGTATGGGTGAGCCACGCACAAACCCAGGTCCCCACTCCAAGTTAATCTGGTGGAGGCCCTTTGTAGTGGGAGTGAATGAGACGTGATAGAGCCCACTCTCGGGCTGCGATACAATCAAGTATGTGGTTGTTGGTTTTCCATCTGGAGCTATGACTGAAACCCTCAGTTGTCCGTGTCCTCCATTGGTAGTGTCCACGCTAAATCTGACCTCTTGGTCGATGTGGATTGGGAGTCTAAGATCACTGTCATCCGAGATGAAACATTTCAGAGGGTCTAGCATGAGATCGAGCGAGAACGGGGATCCTGGGACCTCGGTCCCATGGTAGCAAACTCGGAGGGAGTACTTATCCTCTGTCGGTGGATTGAAATACACGATATGCGAGTCTGGATCGGTTTTCAAAGTCTCCACATTCACATCCACTGCCCCGCATCTCTCTGCCTTACAAGTGGCTGTCAGTGGAGCCTGACCGGCTCTCGAGGGTGCTCACGTCCAATTTGGCAAGTTGCCCAGGCCCGTACCCGACAAGTTCTCCACATCTGACTCTCTCTGGTCGAATCGGAAGCAAAACTGTAAAGTGCTGCCGCGAAGATGGAACTGGGTTGTCGGACCAGAATATCTCCAGACTGTATGAATCTGGAGATGGAGGGGTGAATAAAATCTTGTGGAGTTTTCCCCCTATTTCTTGAAACGTGAGAGGTATGTTGTCGTGCTTTCCTTTAGTGTTCAGTTTTGCGGTGAGCCTACCCCTCCCGGCCTCATTTGTGTCTACAACAATGTAGCCCTGTTTTCCATCACTGTACTGGGGGAAGTTCCGCTCTTTGACTTTAACTCCCTCTGGTAGGCAGAGCTGGATATCGACCTCAAAAGGCGAGCCTTGAACGTGATCTCTCCCATATCTGACACTGAAGCTGTAGAGACCGGGCTCCTTTGGTACAACTTTCAAGCGGTACCTCTTCAGACCGAGTATGACCACCTCAGCTTCTTGAGAGTTGGTCCGCGACGACGCATCTTCGAAGGTTCCCCTTACAACGTCGTGACCGGCTGTGGTGCAGTCTAAGTCGAGCCAGACCTCCTCTCCCGTGCCTGCTTGTGCTGGAATGTGAATCTCTCCAACCGCAACCTCAGAAGCCACGGCGGATTCCAGATTCACCTGAAATGGCGAGTGAGGAATCTCCCTCCTGGCCCACAAACAGGAGATGTTGTAGGTGTCAGGGAACGGAGGAATGAAGGATACCCTCCAAGTGCCCGGAACACTCTCGCTGATTTCATGATTATTGACTTCTCCCGATTTCAAACCCCTCGTGCTGGCTTCCATTTTTCCTCGCCCGGCTTCTGAAGTGTTGAACGTGAGCACCACTAGAGGCAGGAGCTGGTTGGGGATCGACGTACTGATGAGCTTCACTTTCTCCGGCTGAGGGCTGACGATGTTCATAACGAAGGGGCTACCAGGGATATCCTCATCATTGAAGAGTATTGAAATGGAATACTTGTCGTCCCTGGGGGGAACGAACTTGACATTCTGGCAGGCGTTTGGTAGCTCTTCGATCTCGCTGTCAATGTGGCCAGTTTCATCACCCAAGACACTAGTAACAAGTGGTAACACACCCACCTTTGAGCAGTCAACTGTTACATATGCATACTCGGATCCGGCTTTGTCAGGAAAATGGATGGTTTTGGCTTCCACTAGACTTGCATCGAGTGGCAGGAGATTGATGATGAACGGACTTCCAGGGACCTCTTCTTCTCCCCATTTGACGCACACTCTGTAGATATCAGGATCCACGGGGAAGAATTTCACTATGTATTGCGAATTCACAATGTCGATGTCGGTGATGACATTAATATTTCCGCAAGTGTCGCCGAATGCGGTGGCTTTTAGCTCTCCAAACCCTGCATTTGACCCGTTGAAAGCGAATTGGATCGTTTGCCTCAGACTTGTAGTTTCAGGCGGAGTAACGGTCACCATCTTGGCGTTGGGAGGGTGTGTATTGACGTAGAACGGGGAGCGGGTTATTTTCTTGTCGCCGTACTTGACCCCCATCGTGAAAAAGTCAGGATGCGGTGGAGTAAAGGACAATTTGTGCTGGTTTTCTCCCACAGACTTGACTGTGACTGGCACACGACCTGATTTGTTCCCCATGCACAGAGCCGTGATTTCAGCATTGCCTGCGTTTTCAGTGCCCAGAAGCACTTCACATGGGCCCTGAGGTCCCTGGGGGAACATTGGCTCCGAGGCTGTCACTTTAGAAGCGTCGACTGGGATGAGATTGATTTTGAACGGCGACCCAGACATGTGCTGCCCACTCAAGAAGACGGAGAGTGTGTAAATGTCTTCGTCGCTGGGGGTGAAAGAAACCCTGAACTTGTATTCGTCTTGTCTGGTTTTGATCTCAACGGGAATGTCACCTCCTTTCATTGCCGAGCAGGTTGCAGTGAGTTTTCCCGGTCCACCACTGGAGGTGTCCACCCCTATTGCAATGTCTTGACCGACGTTCATGATCCCCTGCGGCTGTTCAAACACCGTCACTCTGTCCGGTGCGTACGGCATCCGGTTCAGCTGACATGGAAAACCAGGAATCACTTTCCCGCTCCATTCCAGGGTAAAGGTGTAGACGTCTGGTTGATCCGGGCTGAACTTGACTTCGAATTTTCCGTATTCCTTTTCGTCTGGTGTAACTGAAATGCAGTTGCTCACATCTCCTGCAGTTTTGCCAACAGCAAGTGCAACTAGTTGCCCGTTCCCTGCCGTTGCAGCGTCGACAAACAGAATGATGTCGTTGTCCCAAGCTGGACCGAATCGAGAGATGCTCACCGAGCACTTTTCGGCATCTGGCGTAATGCGATTGAGCACAAACGGACTCTTTGGGATCTCTTCCCCACCCCAACTCACGTACACCTTGTAAATATCAGGGGCGGGGGCGACCAATGATATCTCCATTTCCCCACCATCTTTTTCTCTCATCTTCAAGTGTTCTCCTTCCACAGCACCACTACTTTCTCCCTCCGCCTTAACCTCAAGTTTCCCGTTGCCAGCTCCGAGTGTGTTGATGTTGAGTAAAGCCGGCTCTTGCCAATCTTCTGGGGCAATTGGAGCGCCAATAAGCTGACAACTGGTAGAATCCGACGGATGTAGATTTATCGTGAATGGAGATCCGGGGACTTGCGTTTTGGACCAAGTCACCCACAGCGTGTAAATGTCGGGCTTTGTAGGCTCAAATGTAACCTCGCGAATCTTTGACGGACCCTCGGAGACTGTAACAGCAACGCTTTTGCTTTTTTCGCCGATGCACTTGGCTTTCAGCTTCCCAGCTCCGGCTTTCTCTGTGTTGAGTTCGAGCACAACTGGTTTCAAACTCCCCACCCCATAGACTGGACTGGAGACAACAATCTGGTTTGCATCTGGCTTGCAGTTGACCTCCATGGGAAATGGCGAACCAGGCACATCCACTCCTCCCCAAGTAATCCTTACGTGGAGGGTTCCTACTGTTTTTGGAGAAACTTCAACTCGATACTGGCCCTTCCCTGGACTTGTAACATTAACGTCTGCCCCGCCCTCTTCGACTGAACTGGCTTCTAGGGTTCCTTCTCCGGATTCCTTGGCATCTATCTTAATCTTGTACAACTCGCCGACCATGTAAACACTAGATTTCTCAGGTTTCGGGAGGGTGACTCCCACAGGCTTGTAGCACTGAATGAGAAACGGGCTTCCCGGTATCTCTTCCTCCAGCCAGAGCACCGTTATCTGATAGCTACCCACTTTCTTGGGGAAATAGGTGACATCGTAGACGTCATCTTCTTTAGGTTTGATTATAACAACGGCTTGGGACTTACCCTCCACTTTAACCTTCAGTTTCCCCGGGCCGGCTCCTTTAGTCGAGACATCGAAGTGGTTTTCTTGACCAACAACTCCACGAACAATGCCGTCCCCAGTAGCCGTACACACCGATGCATCACTGAGGTGAAGAAGAAACGGTGAACCGTTGATGGGTTGATTGTCGAATTTGATCGTGAGGCGGTACTTTTTCCCATCATTGGCATCGAATTCCACATCGTAGTGGCTTTTCCCTGACTGTGAGATTGTAACTGGGACCGATGCTTTCGACGTAAGGCTTTTGGCTGAGGCTGTGAGTAGACCCTCCCTCTCCTGGTTTGTGTGGACACAAAATGTGAGTGTGTTGGCGTCTACACTAGTACGACATGCCTCCGGGGCTTCATTCAGGCTGCACAGGGACGCATCTGCTGGCGAGTCAAACTTGACTTTGAACGGACTCCCCAGCACGTGCTTCTTTCCGAAGAGTGTGGAGATGGTAAATTCGCCTTGTTTCAGTGGAACAAGAGTACACATGTACGTGACAATGCCCTCCTTTTCGTGAGTCGAGATTTTTACCGCTGCACCGTCCGTGGGGTCGCAAGTAACGACGAGTGTTTTGCCTGGAAGCTGCTCTAGGTGGACCTTGAAACGATACGGGATCCCCTGTCTGAAATCTTCGGTACTAAGATCAAGCGTACCTCCTTCTTCCAAGGGAGGGGCAGCTGCGTTGAGGACTGCAGAGAGATCAATCGACTTGGATATCTTCTCCCAGCCTTGAGACTTGTGTCCGTCCTGTGGAATCGCTCCAGGACTATCACCCCCAACCTCTGTCTCCCCACCATTCTCTAGCTCGTGGAAATTCTCCTCTGCTGGGCTCACCTCTTCTTGCTTGACAATTTTTAGAGTCGATGCTCTTCTCAGGAGCTGCCGGGCAGAGGGCTCTGCCATTCTGGTCTGATTTGATCCCCTGAGATTCTTTCAGCAAAGCTCACTGTGAAAAAAATAGACTGCACTTATTTACGAAGATCCACAAATAACGTAGCTAGCGCCGCGGTGCTAATCAAAGCATCTGAGAGCAAATCTGTACCATCAGAGTGCGGCCGCCGAGATTTACAAGGGAAAGCCTCCGCAGCTAGCAGCAATAGGTGATGCAACAAAAAAAGCAATTTTTATGCTCACCTTCTCTTACTTGCGCTCCAACTTCACTGCGAGAAAACTTACTGCGCAGCGGTCGCGGCGGTGCCCCACCCGAAAATGCCAATGCGGTGCGAAACACGGCTCATTAGCGTAGCTTTCATAAGAAGCAGGAAAGCTTATGAGCATATATACTGTTACATGTTTTGAATGGTTTACATTCCTCATGCAAACCAGGAATTATAGCAACGCAATACAGTGTGATCTAACACATTTGACACCCACAGCATTTTTAGAAGTTCAATGTCTCCAGACACTACTAGGCGTAAGGTTACCGTACATCAAATCCCTTTCACAAGAACAACAATTGTAGGTAGTAGAGTCATGCATGGAGGGCATGTGTTGATAATGCATTTTAGTAGTAGCAGTACCTTCCCCTTTAGCCACCATAAACGTTGATGATTGGGTTTATTCTGTGTATAATTAGCAAAATAGCATTCCTGCACTGCTCACTATAGCAACTCCACATTGCATAGTATGCTCATCATCTTTGTATAAACTGCTAAATCTGAATTCGCTGAAATTATAGTATAAAGGAATGATTTTTCGCTGCAATATAAAGTTTGTATATACAAGGTAATTTTTAAAAATCTAGCTACCGCATAGAGAAAGTATGAGCATTACAGGTGGTAATTTGATGCATTCTACATGGTAAAAATTATCGCAAAAAATTAAAACTACATTCCAAAACATAGATGAAACCTAAACAGCAATAAAACAGACCAACACAGAAATAGCTAGAAATTAAACAAAATTGGGTCTGATAATGGCAAATTAATTGATCATGAAATCGATGAAAAAATGTTTTAATTTACTTGGTCGGTTCTTCAGTATCCTGAATTGTTGTAAGAAGAAAAGAAAGTAAAAATTAAACTCTATTTTGAATTTTATTTAACTTACTCTTTTCGTTCTGAGGTCGAATGTTGACAGTGAAGGGACTGCCAGGGACATGAATCTCGGACCATGTGATGTCAACTTTGTATGCTCCCGGGTATGTAGGGTCGTAGCGGACGAGGATGGTCCTCTCGTTATCGGGATGACGACGCATGTTGATCTTGAATGCTCCCTTTGGTCCGTGGACCCGCACTGCTAGAGTCCCTGCTCCACCATCTCCAGTCTCCACCATGAAATTTCCTTCTTGTCCGACGTACCCATCCTCCAGTCCCGGCCCGTGAGCTTTGACATTCTGAGGTTTCGGAGGCACTAGAAACTTGGCTTTGAACGGGCTCCCTCTGATGTGGTTGCCGTTCCACCGTACGTGGACCATGTAGCGCCCGGGATCAGCCACGTTCAGGGAGCAAAGATAGTCTCCACTGAGCTGGCGAACCGCTTCACCCTTCATGTTCTTGTTCTGGCTGGACTGAGCTGTTACTGTCAGCTCGCCTGAATCTGGGATGCCTCCAGAGTGCACCATAAACTTGAGCGGTTCACCGAGCATGGTTTCAGTCTGCGGGTTCTCGATGCTAAAGATGGACGGGTCCGAGGGGTGGTAGCAGTGAACCATGAACGGACTCCCGGGAATCTCCTGCTCCGCCCACTCAACCGTCACGAAATAATCGCCTTCTTTCTTTGCACTGTAGGCCACTTCGTACTCCAACTCATTCTGCGGGTCCTGACTCACGTTGCAAGTCACGTCTTCTCCCACTCCCCTCACTCTGACCGCCAACCTCCCTTCTCCTGCGTGCTCCGTGTTGACTCTAAACTTTGCCCACTTTCCGATGATACACGATACAAGCCCGTCTCCCTGCGCTGTGACCTGGTTAGCATCGGTCGGTGGAGGCCCAAACACTAGTTTGAAAGGCGAACCAGTAATGTGCACTTCGTCGTACTTGATAGTCAGGAGATACTCTGCCCCATCTCCGGGGAAAAACTCCACGTTGAATCGCTGGTCTTCAGTCTGCGTCAGAGTGACTGGCGCTACATCTTTCGTGATGGAGTTTTCTACTGATGCAGTGAGTTTCCCGTTCCCTGCACCTTCGGTGGAGATACAAAACGTGACGGCGTCTCCTGTACCGTGAAGATTCTCTACCGAGCTCTCAACCATGCGAACCTTGCTCGCGTCTCCTCTCATTTCAAACACCACATTGAACGGGCTACCCAGGATATGCTTCCCGTTGTACGTGACAGAGACTTCGTGATTGCCAATCTCTTGAGGGACAATCTCGCACTGGTACGAGTTGGCTATTGCGATGGGAATCAGGCGAATCTTAGCAGCGCTCTGCGGTCGACAGAAGAGCTCTAGGAGCCCCTCCCCCACCTCGTCACAGTGGAGTTTGAACCGGTGAGCAACTCCGATTCGGAAACTCTCGTCTTCCAGATTTAGACCGGTAATGAGTCTGGATTTCTTGGACTTGAAGACCAGCATGTACGGACTGCCCTTGATGTGTAGATCGTTCCACAGTATGTCTAGGAAGTACTTCCCGGCCACACTCGGGAGGAATTCACACGAGTAAGTCCCGTCCTTGTTGTCGAACACTTTAACCTCTGCCTTTCCGGGGCCTCGCGATGTAATGTTGAGAGTTCCTGGCCCAGCCTCTGCCGTCTGGATGCGGAACTTGGCCGGTTTGCCAAACGGAATGGCCTTCTTGAAAAGCTTCAAGTCTTCTTCGAGAATGTAAACTTTGGAGGCGTCGGGCTGACTGCTGTAAGCCGTGATCTTAAACGGACTTCCAGACACGTCTTCTTCATCTTTGCGAACCGTCATGAGGTAATCGCCTGGTGCCTCGGGGATAAATTTAACCCCTTGCAGCCCGTCACATGACTTCCCTACGGAGGTTTCGCACAGTCCTCGGGGCCCTTCTGTAGTAGCGTAGATCTCAGAAGAGTTCGGAGCATTTAGCGGTAGCAACAAGACAACTGGTCTTTCAGACTCCACGTCGCTGTGGCATATTCCGTCAGGGTGGACGAAATCGGCAGCCAGCGAGCCCCTCTCCACAGCCTTGATTGTGAAGGGGCTCCCCTTGATATGCTCCCTGTTCATTTTCACGTTGAGGATGTAGTTGTCTGGCAGAGCTGGGGTGAAAAGAACGACCGAAGATCCGTCCTTTCTCTGTTCAACCGAAACTTCAGCTTCTCCAGTCTTGTTGCCCATACACCCAGCCAGTAGGAACTCCTTAGAAGGGAGCTTACCCACACCCACTACCCTAATTGGCACCAGCTGCTCGAGCTCAACCACATTAAGCGCAGGGTACCCCTCAAGTGGATTCTCTATCTCAGGTGCCCGGTCCTGTGCCAGAACGCAGAACGGAGTACCGGGAATTGCCGTTTCTGCCCACAGGATCTGGAAAAAGTGCTCGCCGACTGCATTGGGGACGTATTCAGCAGTAAAGGTACCGTCTTTGTTATCCACTACACTTAGATCTGATTCATTCAAAGCTTCGGGACCGGAGCCTCTGAATACGAGATCCCCACTACCGGCTTGTCTGGCATCGACTGTGAACTGGAAGGGCTCACCAACAAAGGCTCGCTTTGGGAGCCCCAGAACTTTGACAGTCTCGGGTTTGGGTGGGGAATTATAGCGAATTCTGTAGGGGCTGCCAGGAATCTCTTTTTTCTTGAGGAGAACGTGAATCTCGTAGATGCCTGGATCTTGTGGCTGGAAGCTGAGCTTGAATTTTCCTTTCTGTAGTTTGTTCACCTTCACCTTGTGTCTCGCTCCGTTTGATACTTGAATGGCGTACGACTCGAGATCGCCAGTTCTGCAGTCAGCGTTGATGTCCATTGCCACAGGACTGCCCCAGGGGTAAGTCTGGACGTCTCCTATCATTCCCACGTCAAACGAGAGAGGCGATCCGGGAATACGCTCCTTGGACCACTGCATGTGGATTCTGTGGCAACCCTTTGCCGACGGTGTGTAAGAAATGTGCCATATTCCCGGCTCCTTCTCACTGGTCTGAACATCCAACTTTGACGGGGTGTCATCAGCCGAGGGACCGTCTGCCGTGACAGAGAGCTTCCCTTCTCCAGCCTGCGTGGAGTCGACTCCAAACTTGATTGGTTCTCCGACTTGCGGCACTAGAGGAATGTCTTGGAGACCGAAAATGACACATTTGGAAGGGTCGCTGCGTGAGACGTAGTTGACGACGATGGGAGTGTTGGGGACCGGGAAATCCCCGAGGAGCACGTCAATCTTGTAGCGATCCGGTTTGTCAGGGTTAAAGAAGACGTCGCGAGATCCGTCCGGATTCTTGGAAATGCTGACTGGAGCTTTCCCAGTCTTGTCTCCAATGGCAGTGGCAAGCAGAGGAGCACCTTGCTGACCTTTGTCCTCTACCGTGATATTGACTGAAAGAGGTTCCCCTATGAACTGAGTCAGTTCTTCCGGCTGTGGGCGTTTGATTTCCTGTGGTGGGGCCGAGTGAAGGTCTTGTGTTGGGACCATGATACACTCTTCCACGGGGATAAGTGGAGCCACTACCATTCCCTCTGTGACTGGGCCCTTGGGACGAAAGTCCACTTTGAAAGGAGACCCGGGGACTTGCTGACCGACGAAAAACACTTTCAGACTGTACTCGTCTTCTCTCTTGGGTACAAACTGTATGCTGTGCGTGGTTGATGAGGTGGAGCTCACGTGTACAGGGACAGATCCGCTGACTACTCCACTCACTTGGGCCGTGAGTTTCCCTTTCCCTGCTCTCGAAGTGTCAGCAGTGAGAGTAACTGGCTTACCAGTTGACGTATAGGCCAGCTGCCCACACTCTACGTTATGTGGGAAGATCTGGGGACGAGTGTCTACAAGAAACGGCGAGCCTTTTACCGGTAGTCCAGCCCACTGCACATTAACATTGAACGTGTCGTACTCCTTAGGAATAAAGGAGACTTGGAATTTATCGGGCGATATTTCAGTTACGGCGGTGTCCACCACTCCAATAAGGTCCCCGGTAGCTTTGGCAGACAGGGTTCCCTGTCCGGCATTCCTGGTGTCAAATACCAGGGTGACTGGACCCCCTGCCTGGTCCGGGATGGAGGTGTCTAACAGCTCCACCTCATCGGGTTGGGGAGGGACAAGGTTAATGTTGAACGGAGTACTCGGAACAATGGAGTCTCCGTAGTAAATAGAGAATTTGTACTTGTCGGCCTGCGAGGGTGGAAATCGGACGCGATACTTCTTACCGCGACGCATCGTCTCCACTTCGCAGTCTATGGCTCCGACTTTCTCCCCCACTGCCTCACCTCGTATCTTTCCGTGGCCGGCGTCAGAGGTGTCAACATCTACCCACACATGCTCTCCAGTCCCTGCTTCATCTGGGATGTGGAGCTCTCCAACTTTGACCTTCGAGGCCATCGGATTTCGCAGGTCGATCTTGAAAGGTGAGCGCGGAACATTTTCCTTTGACCACTTGATGATCAGTTTGTACACATCGGGATTGTGAGCTGCAAATGACACCTCGTAGACGCCTTTGCCCTTCTTTGTCGGTTTTACCTCGATTGCTCCATACTTTTCTCCGCGACACGTGGCGGTGAGTTTCCCGTTTCCGGCATACTGGGTGTCGACGATGTAAGTCATGGGCTGTCGCAGTTCAATCGATTCAGGCTCGATTACCTTCACGGCACTGGCATTGGGAGGGAGGGTATTGATAGTGAAGGGGGACCCAGGGATCTTCTGCCCGCCATACTGTACAGCAAAAGTGTATATGTCTCCTTGAGGAGGAACGAAAGTGAGTTGATAGATGTCCTTTGCTGTTTCGCTGATTGTGACAGTGACGTCGCCGACTTGTTTCCCGATGCAAGCAGCCGTGACCTTACCCTTCCCAGCTTGGCCCGTCTTGATGATGAGTTCAACAGGTCCATCGTTTCCCTGGAGTTGGTTCGGACCGATCACCTTGATCTTGCTAGGGTCGACCGGCAGAAGATTGATCGTGAATGGAGAGCCTTTCACGTGCTGTCCGGCCCACAGAACGTCCACATTGAATATGTCGGGTTCCGGGGGAGCGAATCGAACATCGTATTTGTCTTTGGATCTCTGGCTCACTTTTGTCTGGATTTCGCCGACTTGCTGACCGGTTGTCTTTGCAGTCAGCTCTCCCCTACCGGCCAGGGAAGTGTCGAAACAAATCCCAATTGCTTGTCCGGCTTCGAGCATGGCGGTGGGTGGCTCTACGATGACAACTTCTTCTGCTCTCGGTGGGTTCAGATTGATCTCAAACGGAGCCCCAGGGATCGTGTGTCCTCCCCACTTGACGTCAAACTTGTAGAAATCGGGGCCGGGAGGAACGAAAGAGACGTCAAATTTATTGGGCTCTATCTCTTGAATCTGAACATCGGAGAACCCGTGAAGATTTCCCTCAACCGACCCACTCAATTTACCGTTGCCAGCTCCAGTGGTATCGATAAAGAGTCTCGTAGGCTCCAGGATGTTGTCAGGTACGTGAGGTCCATCAATGGCGAGTTTGGTGACATCTGGTGGCAGGAGATTGACTCTAAACGGAGACTTGTTCACGTTCTCACCCGACCACAGCACACTGAGGGAGTAGTCGTCGATTTGGATCGGAGTGAATGAGACAGAGTACTTGTCCGGCTCGGTTTTTACTACTTTAGTGGCCACGGCGCCGACTTTCTTCCCGACACAAATTGCGGTGAGCTCCCCGGCACCGGCTAGTTCAGTGTCGGCAGTCACGGACACAGGTGCTGTGGAGTTAACGGTGAAATCGGGACTGGTGCAGCGAACCCTCTCGGCTCGAGGTTTCTCGTCGATTGGCAGCTTGAAAGGTGATCCCGGAACGTGCTCCTCGCCCCACATGATACTGACGAGATACTCGTCAGCCTCGCTTGCTCTCAGAGTCACATTGTGTCGGGAGGACCCTTCATTTATGACAATCACGTCGGGTTTGATCCCCGTTCGAGCTCCGTAGCTACTTGCCGTTAGCTCAGCATCCCCGGCTCCAGTCGTGTTGACTTTGTAGATATATGGAATGTCCACCACGTATTTCCCCAGTCTCCCTGGAGCCGGCTGTGCTACAATCACACTGTCAGCGTCGCTCCCCGAATCGACATGGATTCTGATTGGAACGTCCGGGATCTGCTCCCCATCGAAATGGATATCGATCGCATGTGGCCCAGCCGTTTTAGGAATGTAGTGCACGAGATACGTTTGGTCTCCCTGGTCTCGTACTTCTAGTTCGTCTGAGCCTTTCGACCCCTTGCAGGAGGCGGTGAGTTCTCCCCCGCCGGCAAAGTGCGCTGCCACTCGGAAATCGATGGGTTGCTTGGTGCGATAGGACCCGCTGGCCAGTGCCGCAGCATTCACCTTACACTTGCTGGGATCATTAGCTGAGAACCTGGCTGGAGACTCTGGTATAGGGACCCCGTCATAGAGCACCTCGACATCAACTGGCCCTACCTCCATTGGTCTAAACTTGACTGAATATACCCTCCCACTCTTTGCAAATATTTCACACTTTTCTTTTACACCAGACGGGCCCGTGAATGAACCCGAGAGGTCGCCGGCTCCGGCTTTCAAGGTGTCTACGTCAAAATTGTAGCTCTGTCCGGCTCGGAGCCGTCCGGTTGGGGCGTTGAGGATAGTGCATTTCGAGGAATCTGCTGGAGAGAGACATTCGGCTGTGAAAGGACTCCCGGAGATCGGGGCTCCTCCGTACAAGATGTCGATCTTGTGCATCCCTTCGTTTCCGGGGACCCAGGTACACGTGTAGTTTCCCCTGCCTTCTTCCCTCGTTTCAATGGGGACTTCCCCACCATTCGGAGCAGTGACTCTCACGTCTAGGTCGCCCTGACCTGCCTTGTCTGTCTTCACGGCGAAGGAGACTGGGGTGTTCAGCTTTGCCATATTCAAACCGGCCCCACTTGCCGAGCATTTCTTGGGGTCTGTTATCTGTGTCGTGAAGGGACTTCTTGCAACGTGGTTCCCACCCCAGCGGATATTAATGCTGTGGGGACCGGGCTCTGCGGGAGTGAACCACACGTCGAAATTGCGAGGCGAGGACTCTCGCGTATCGACTGGTACGTAGCTCCCTGACGGACTGTCCACCTCAACCTCCAGCTCTCCGGGCCCACCGTCTGCACAGTTCACCGAGAACGCCAGCTTCTCGCCGACTCTCCCTTTCTCCATCCCTTCCCCTGTCACTGTGCACTTGTCGGCGTCCGACGGTGCCTGATGCTGCACGTTGAACGGCGAACCTTTGATATGCTCGTCGTTTAGTTTAACCTCGACTCTGTACCTCCCTCCTACCTCTGGAGTGTATTGGTAGGACATAGCTTTAGCACTAGTCGTGTGGTGCTTCGTTGGAACGTCGCTCCCGTCTGCTTTGGTTACCGTACACGAGAGAGCTGCCCACTCGGGGATGCGACCACGAACGATGAAATTAGTTTCTTTCCCCGCAGAGTCTCCCGTTATTCCAGGGCCCGAAGCCACCAGTTTCTGCGCAGGAGAAGCGACGGCTTGCGCGTGGCGGAACTGCTGGAGGTACGTGGTACGGGTCATCGGATCCAGATCCGGATTGGCAAACTGCTCGGCATCGCAGGTCATTGAAATCTGGAGCAGTTTTTCCGCTGTAGTCATAGCACTGGTGCAGTTCTCGAGCTCTTGATCCGGTTTCATCTGTTCGTATTCGGGGTAAGCCCCTCCCGAAACGCAATCAGTGAGAGCTCCGAGGACCCTCCCGTCAACCCAGTCGGTGGTGAAATTGGTGATGTTCTGTTTGGGGAGCTTCTTGCGGACAAATTCGAGGAGAGTCCTCTCGCCCACAGAGTTGGGGCAGCAGAACTGGGAGAGGTAGGTCATGGTGGACAGCTTGTCAGGCTTGTCCACGGCCAGGTCCTCGGGGTGCATCAGCTGAGGGATCTGGAGGTGCTCCTCTGCCAGCTCCATGGCTCGCTGCACATTCTCCAGTCTCCGTTCCGGGTCCAGGGAGGCGTGGTCTGGAATCAGGCCCGGCTGACAGTAGTCTACCAGAGCCGACAGGTTGACTCCGTCGTTCCAACTTGTTGTCAAATTTCTGACACCATTATTGGGAAGGGCACTCTTCATCCACCCCAACAACAGCTTCTCTGCCGTCGCTCTCTTGGCCTTGACGGCCTTGCTCTCAATGGCCCCCGATTCCCCTGTAGCTATCTGATAGCGGATGATGAGGGCCCAAACCAGCCCTAAATTCAGCTTCAAGTTGTGCTCAAAGATATCAGTCACACCTACACACGGCCCAGTGGAAAACAGAGGGGTTAAATTTCGGTATGAGTAACAACAAGTACTTGTCATGGAATAAAGCACCAGTAAGGATTACATGAAACACCACAGTGTAGTAAGCACGATATACCCACGGTACATGTACATACGTAGGTGCAGCAAACGTTGAAGGAGACACTGAAGCTGTAGTATCTAAGCATTTTAACAGTAATAGGGTAGCAGTAAGGATTACGGAAGTAAGAAGTTCTAAGAAGGTTCACATACCAGTGACAGTGTCTAAAAATAGACCAAGGCTAAGTTTGGCAGGCAAATATAGCAGGAATGTGTCCGCCTCACATGGAGACCTTTATCCAGTTACACACACTGGAATCAAAGGGATGAAGGCAATATATCGTGTAATTGCCTGGGGTTTATGTCACTTGTTGGATCCTTGTGGTGTCACTGGACAGATATTTAACCACACTGGGCGTGGTGCACAAGATGTTTAGAGCAGGGGCACTAAACATCTTGTTGTGTTACGCTTGTTTGACGTACCCTAAACATAAGCTGAGGTATTTAGGCTGTTTGTCCTTACCTATAATACAACAACACGTGACGATCACCCACGAATTGCCATGCAGTTAACCAAACATCTACAACGTGAACAGGTACACAACAGACCGGGAGTTAGGTTTGCATAGCAACGACCAAAATGGAAAGAAATGCATGAGAAGGCCCTAGCATTCAACGGAATGGGCACAAACCCCACAAAAACCAATCCCAGTGAACTCTGAACATTGCAGTAGGAAACACAGAACCCAGCCCGGTGACTGTGTAGATCAGGGCAGGGCAGGTCGCATATCGGGAGTACACTCTTTGGCTTCACTAGATTCCACACACATTTCCACCTCTTTCTCTTCGTATCCTTAGTACTATCTCTAGATTCCCTCTTCACAAGAAATCCCGTAGACGAAGGGAAATAGTCAGGTAGTAGGAAGTGAATCTAACCGGTTCTCTGAAAGTATCTATGATGTCACAAATATCTTGGCTCCAATACAGTATTCTCATACATTCCTTACACACTTCACACAGGTTACAAAAATGTGTCCAGTTCTCAGATCAAGTATAGTGCTTCAGCGGGGTAAAGTGTTGACAGCAAAAATGTAATCAAACCATGCATTATTCATGACGTTAGCTGTCTATCACTACCATGAATCTTGTGCTAGCTAGCAGCAACACCCTGCCACAGGAAGGAAGAGCGGGAGGGATATGGTAAGTGGGCAACATTCTCTTACTCTCTCAAGGGAGAACCAGGGCAACGAACCATGGAAACCAACCAACCATACAGGCTAACCAACCGTGCCGAGAGGAGAGAGAGGGAGAGAATGCAGCTGGAATGAAAAACACTCAAAACCCCATAGGAGCAGGATTGGCGGGGCATTGATCTCTGCCAGCTACCCTGATGCAGCTGCTCTCACTCCCACTGCTAAATCTCCCTGTTTAGCCAGATATTTGAGACTATAGGCAACTGGGTGTGACGGAGAAAGGAGTGTAGTTCTAATACACGACTAATGACTGACAATGCTCAATGCTATGCAGTGTGTGTGAGGTCGGAGATAAAATTTCAAGTGAGACAGCAAGATGATACTCTTTCCTCACATCACACTTTCTTTCCCCGAAAAATATATTTTGACATCTTCAAGGCCCCATTTTTTCAGAAGATTTGCCGATTTGCCGATTTTATGCATAGCAATTCGGCCCAGCCAGCCACAACACAGACATAGCTAGGCAGTACCACAGGCCAACTGGGGCTGAATGCTCGTGTACACAGCAGCACACAGACACACTCTGGACCTATTCCAAGCCAGCTCTCACGTCGAATACCAACCCATTAAGATCACTCTCGGACATATTATTATGCAATCCCCTATGCTGTGCAATACATGTACATAGGGTGGTGGATGTAGTTGTTTTGTTACTGGCCCCCTGACAATTGGACGCAGACACAATCACCTGTTGGACTTGTAAATACTGTAATGTTTACACGTGGCTGTCTGCAAGATCTACAAATCACTGATGGCAAGATAATCCATCATTCATCACAGCTCCATTGGTCATCAAGAAGCCATGATCATTAGGAGTAAGAGTACGAAACAAATGAGGATCTATACAAGTTACCTTTTTAAACTGACCCAAGTACATATGTATGGTCATAGTGTTATGTTAGTCAGAGTAAACAAATATTAGGTCAACTCACCGATATTCTCGAGTCGGATTTTTTCAATCTTTTTCATGAATTCGAGAGCAATGTCGACATTTTCCCTCTTTTGGATGTCCAGTCGAGGCTTTGCATTGTGTCTGGGGCAATCCGTGGGGAAAGTAGAGGGAAAGGCAATCATGGGTGAGTTTCCACAAAGAACAGAGAGGGTGGGGATAACGTAACTACAGCTCATGTGAACCAACAGACGGAGCCTGCGACCACAAATACTAAGTTGAACTGGCTCACCTCTTGTGCATCTTCTTCTTGGAAAGCGCTTCCAGGAGCTTGATGAGCGTTATGCCGTCGCTGAAATCCTTTTCGAGGACCTCCACTTTGCACGGCGTGTCTTTGAGTTTCTCGTTGACCCAGTTCCTGAACGTCTTCTTCTGCACATCGATCCAGCCCCTGTCGGCTAGCTGGGCCCCTCCTCCTCCGTTTCCCCCGTCTGCCATCCCTGACAACTGCTATATCCAACCCGAGATCAGCCTTGTCAACCCTTCGCACGTGTATTCAGACCTGACGGTAGTACGGTCTGTTAGTTTTACGGTATTATCAACAGCGATGTAAACACACTTACGTCCTAAACTTCGCTCTTCGTCCAAGTACAAAACAGAGAAGGCTCGCACTAAGGAAAACCTCCACAGTGAAGAGCGGTAGTCAGTGGAGGGCGCATTACATGGGGATGAGTGCGGTTATGCCGTGCACAATGGAATGTCAATATCACATTCCTTTCGCCAAGGTTCCACACCTTCGTTACCAAGGAGGTCATTTGCAGTTTGATAGAATTTAATCTCCATGCTGTAAATTATTAATTAGCACCTATGGATAAACCACAAAACTGGGTCTTCGCAATCAATAATCATCAACAATGTGGGCCTATATCAGAGTCAAGTACTAAGTGCACATTGAGGGTGGGAGAGAGAGGTCAAAAGGTCAACACGAGTTGATGATGAGTCAGTTGCCCCGGTAACCAGTTCCCCAACTGCCAATCTTGCCTGCTCAGATCTCACCACGTTTTCTCCGAGTGCCCTCTCCTGCAGGTATATACGAAAATTGAAGTGTGTGTGTGCTTTGTTGGTGTAATATACCAGTGGTTCCACTAGCTGGGACCTGCAGATCCTCAGAGTACACTCCACTGGTGAAGGTGGAATAACTTCAATGTCACTGGCATACCTGCACAGGGAGAAGAATATTGGAGCAATTGGCCGAGCTGTGCTCTGGAAGGAGGCCTTGTCTAGAGAGCAGAGTTTGAATCCTACCCAGGGTAGCTTTCTCTTCAAATCTTGCTTTACACATGCCTCGCTTTCTACGCTTCATGCAGTATATATCACTAAGTACGGTAGTACTTAGTGATATAGGGATGACATATGCCTCTTTTTTAAATTCGCAGGATTTTTAATATATACATTTCAAAGCACAAGTAACATAATACTTTCCCCCTCCTCGCTCACACCTCATCTTACTTCATGAGGGCCAGGTACACCTCCAGAGAAGCCCAGACATCAGTACTGGCATAGAGCAGTTGTTTCCACGACAGATGTCTCCTACTCCAGTTTGAGCGGCTCATCATTTTAGAGAGCCACTGTCCCAGAAAAACTCCCACCAGTCCCTGCAGGCTGAGCAGCGGTGGTCGAAGGTGCTCCGGCAGCGAGTTTAAGAACTCGTGTGTATCAAAGACACTGATGCTGTTGACTGCATAGTAGTTCAAAAGAGCTCTTGCGTCTCCCGAAGAGCCATGGCCGACCTAAACACAAACTACTGGTGATGTTGATCATTGGGTGTTTCACTGACTTACTTTGAGGTAGCGAGGAGACGAGAGGATCCCGTGGAGTACGAAGGGAAATGGCACCGACCTACTCACCTGCCACAGGACACAGAGCTCACGTGATGCAAGCCCGACAACGATGGGCCTGTTGTTGACTGGAGAACACTCTACGTCGAATCCGAGCACCCCATTCTGCACAAGCTGGCGGATTTCGTCCGTGTATTTGTCTTCCGTCTCCGAGTGTTTTATGTTCACTATCTCTCCGGGGAACCTGCACGGGGGTAGGAGCCGGAGGGCGTCTTTGGAGATAAGACTGGAAACGAATTGTTGAGTTTCCAGAGAATAATCTTTGTCTTGTTGGTCACTGTCGCCGTTTGCTGTTAGAGTCCGCACCAACTGGGACACCTGGAGAATCTCACGAGTCGTATGAGCTAGTCTGGGAGGTGAGGGGAGGCAAGCGACGCTTGGTTGGTCCCTCAGCAAGAAGCTTCTGCAGAGTAAACACACCGAGCGAGTCGTTGTCATGTTTCTCTAAAAAGCGCACGCGCGCTGTGGGCGTTTCTTTCTGCGCATGCGCACTCGCATCGTAAAAGGGGTGTGTGGGGCGGGCACTGACTTTCAAGCTGTTGCACAGATCAAGCTAGTTCGACCGGGTCAGTGATCAGCTCTCAAAGGAAAGAATGGTCATCCTACGAAAGGTTCGCGTTTCCCAACTTTCCACCTGCTAGTTCGCGTCGCGCGCGGCGAAGCATTTCTCTGCAGAACGAGCCCCGCCCCCTAATAGCTCGCAAAAAATCTCTGTCCCCCTCTCTCCCCGCACGCAGGGAGACCATGTCTGGCTGGACAACACGAAGGGTGGCGAATTCGAGGTGCCAATTGGGGCTGTCGTCAAGTTCTCTGATGCCGGTGAGCTGCAGGTCGTTGATGACGAAGATGAAGAACATTGGGTCTCTTCCAAGAACGCCTCCAAAATCAGGATCATGCACCCCACCTCCGTCCAGGGAGTGGAGGACATGGTGAGCCACCAGGCCGGGGGAATAGGTCCCAGCGGCGTCGCTTGCGCGGAAATCAGAGCGAGCGGGAAATGTGGAAAACTCTGTCCCCGTAGATTCACCTTGGAGACCTCCACGAGGCGGGAATACTGCACAATCTGCTCCTCAGATACAAGCAGAAGT